TTTCGACTTATTCCATTGATACTCCCTCTAGTCCTAGTGCAACGTTAATCAATTTCACAATTCTTAAGAAGTGCCATTTGAGACATCCATAAGCATATTTGGAAACTTTGTTCTAATGAAAGAATAATCCAACATAAATAAAATTATGCTTTAAAAAAAAATGAAACGAGTGGTATTTTAGAGATAGATAAATAAATTTGCCATTCACAAAAGATATTTTGGTGAAATTCATATTACATTTTCAATTTTTTACGCTGACTTCGGAAATGATTTATAAGCATAATTAATTTAATTCCTTAATCTTCCAACAATCATTCATAAGGTTTGACAGAGGCAAGGGCAGGTAACCTCATGTCACTTCACAAATTAATGCGAACTACTTTCCTGATAAATGAATAACTGGTACCCACTCTCCTTTACAGCCTTCTAGCTTTGACGATGACGCGGTCAAATGACCGAAATACCAGTCTTATCACCTTCCTGAATTGATTTATGCACCTGCTAATTACCGGTTTTGTATTAAAATGTAGTACCCAGTGACAACCCGTCTGTTTTTTTCCTCTAAACTCGGGGGAAATTAGGATTGGATCACTTTTCTCAGAAGTCTTGATCAGTTGAAAAGCCGAGCAAAACTTCATGTTTGAATTTGAAGACACAGCTAGTGGGGAAGCTGTTCATAGTTAATCCCAAAACCAAACTCAAGCCCTTTTCACAGCTCACTTATAATGCATGGGACCCATTTCTCTGCTATAAAACGCACATCAGATGCAACCTCCTCCACAAGAAATTTGAACCTACTACAGGTTCCCTGGCAAAATCTCGCCTGTGCTTCGTTTCACACTAATCCTCTCAAAAGCTCAAGTCCTGAAACTCGGTTTTGTCCCGAAGCATCCTGCATCAGGCATAACCAATATAAACTTCTTAGTTCGAACTCCATAATGAGGAGCAGGCTTGGTTGGGTATTTCTTCTAGCTGCTTTAATATGGGTGCTTCAGGCCAAGGCAGATGAGTCTGAGTCGGCAGGGCTTAAAACAGCGACAGGAGTTGAACAGCATTACAAGACTGATAAAACTGCTGATCAGCCAGTTGCTGGGGCTACAGAGTCGTCACAAGCAGCTGAAGCTCCAATTATTAGACGGCTGGGAAAGCATCATTCTACAGACAAGTCTATGGCCGGTGGAGGTGTCATTATAGGTGGCCTTGTTACTGCCGTGTTTGCTGCAGTTTTCTGCTACATAAGGGTCACTGGAAGAAAGGACGCTGCTCACTGACCTTCCCTTGCACACTTTCTTCACATTTAGTCCAGGAAGCAAAACACTGATTTTAGAAACAAGGACGTTAAGAGTGCCATCACAAAATCATATTTCTGATCATTGTTTACCATACGTTGTTAATATAAAGTTGAGATTCATGTTCCCTGTTTTCCTTTATCTTCTCTGCAAGTGAGTTTGCCCTCGTCTAATATTTACTTTGACTGCTACATTCTCAATCCTCTTGTTTGTTTTAGTTCTCCAAGATGCCGGGAATTGGGAGATGGGAGACTAGTGCTCTTTTACCCCAGTTAGCTGTTTCCATTACAGTTTACAAATATCTAATTTTGAGGCTTCTGCCAAAATAGGAATATAATTTTGGTTGAGCACAAAGGTTCTACAAGTTCGCAATACAGCCAGCTGCTTGTGAATTATGAGTTGTGACTGACGGTTGTAGCATCCGCTATTGCGGTAATTAACCACTGCTAATAATAATACTCCCCTTGTCTTGTTTCAATATGTTTCACACAGATTAAAAAAATTTTAAATTTTGTTAACTCTCATTTAAAATTTAATAAATTTTTAATTTTATCCTTATTTAATATACATTTTATCTCATATAAACAAAGTCAACACAATAATAAATAAAGGGTAAAATTATACATCTATATAAAAAATTTCTCTCAATATCTTATAAATAAGATCAAAAAATATTTCTTATAAATAAGATGGATAAGTAATAATTTCAGAAGCATTTATTATTATTTAATTATGACTTTTCAACACAATCAATGACGTAGAACTTTACAGTGTGCACTGGGTGGATCATTTGTACTTCAGTCTTTCAGACTACCTGTACAAACAAGACTGTGACCAAGTCTCGTTTCTCTATTTTTCCCGCCAGAGAAACAGAACAAACAACTCATCAGAAAATTAAACCCGCGGCTCCTTCTGCTACATTTCCCTGATAGTATCTTCATCGAGGTTCAATGGCTTCCTGTTGTACGCGTTGGTGTTCAGTCTACTTTCTCCTCTCCGTAACACTGGCGATAATGGCGATTTCCATGGCGGGGCATTTTATTTCGAGCAACTCAGACCAAGAAGCCATCTTGTTTGCCCATGAAGTCTCAGTGAATGCCTCCAATGCCCTCCGACGATCGGGATTCAATGTTATGGCTGACCTTTTCCAACGGTCTCCTCCATTCTTCCTTCCTCCGCAGAACTCAACCTTGTTTGCCATCAGAGACTCTGCTCTCAGGAACACCTCTCTCCCTCCATCGCTATTGAGAAAGATCCTTCAGTTCCATACCTCTACCTCCATGGCTTCGATGGAAGACCTGTTGGAGAAGCCCCAAGGGAGTTGCATTCCAACCCTGTTTCGTCACAAGAATGTAGCGATCACCAAGGTAGATCCGAGAGAAAGATTAGTCGAGATCAATCACGCGTTGATATCAAGCCCTGATATGTACCTGGGAAACCAAATTGCAATTCATGGGGTTCTTGCACCATTTTCTTCCGTCGATTTTCAGGATTTGAGCAAGGGCTGGGAGTTTGTTCCCTCGGCTTCTTGTCGTTCGAACTCTGGACAATATTCTGCGTTTTATGAATCCGAGGACAAGGTTGGCTGGAACCGGATTGTTCAGTTGCTCAGCTCAAACGGGTATGCTTCGTTTTCGATTGGATTGCATTCTGTTCTTGAGCGGATACGAACAGATTCAACGAGTTTTGAATCTGTCACAATCTTGGCTCCTCCAGATTTGGCATTACTGGGGAGTCCATCATCTTTGCTTGACAGGGCTGTGAGGCTACATATACTGCCACAAAGACTGACATACAGAGAACTCGCTTCACTCCCGACTAGGACTCTGGTGAAGACACTCATTTCTGACGAATATCTTGAAATTGAAGGAGTTCCAGATTTCATATCAATGTTGGTCATCAACGGTGTGGAAATTGTGGCGCCTGACATTTCAATTTCTGACAAGTTCGTAATTCATGGAATTTCTGAAGCTTTGAAGATGGATGCGCTTATCACCACATGAAGATGGAAGGTCAACGGTTGGCCAAGATGTCTATACACACACAAGGACCTGGGGGGAAACAAATTGATTCTCTCTTCTTTACACATGTAGATATTTTCAATTCATTGAAACGTTTCCTAGTTGAGGGAAGTTAGGTTGGATCAAGTTTCCCTTGCGGTATCCGGGGAAAAAGCGGTTAATATCAAATGCAACTGTAAGTACCTCAACAGTCTAATAATCTTTGAGTTCGAACGAAGTTTATTACTCTCAGAGTTCCAATTCTCGTTCTGCATCATGAAAATAGTCTCATGAACAGTCAATACGGTAGTGGAGTTAGGTACGATCAAATTCCAAATAACAGCCGGGCCATCTTGTTTTTTTTTTTTTTGGTAAACAAGAGGGCAGGAGCCCAAAAACTAAAACAGCAAACTAACGGGGATTATATCCCAAACACTCATCTTCAAACAAGGTCCTCAAATGAGGAGGACACGAATCAAAAAGAGAGGAGTTAGATAAGCCTCCTTTTGCCAACGAATCTGCAAGTTGATTCTGCTCCCTTGGGATGTTCCGTATTTCCAGATCCCAGTCATTCTTCATGAACTCTCTTATTTGGAGACAAAGTAGGCTCTCCGTATTGATGCCTTTTTTCTTCAACAAATCAATTGATATTTTGGAATCAGATTCCAAAATCACCTTCTTGAACCCAAGATCCCAGGCTAATTTAATTCGAGAGACGATGGTCGTATACGTGGACTCCGTCGTTGGACGTAGCCATCCTCTCATGGCCTATTTTGAAAAGGCCCAAATCCGAATATGTCTTCAGAAATTGAAGTCTCGTTGATGGATTAAAGGTGGAGAGTGGAGACACGAGTTGTCAATTATCTGGCGCATATTATTTTGCCTTTTTTTTTTCAGGGCAACACATTTTATTTAATTTTCTTCTCAACAGATCATTAGTACTTTTATCATGATAATGATTAAAACATATTAAAACGTGATTTTTTTATATATTATTTATTCTACAACAAACTCTTGCTGATCATATTTATTAATGTTTTTTATCTACTTATTTTAATTTAATTGGACAAATGTATACTCCTTAGCTCTTATTTATATAACACTTTCAATATATTTTACGCAGACCAAGAAAAAATTTAAAATGCATTAGCTTTCTATTAAAATATAACAATTTTTTAAATTTACTCATATTTAATATGTACACCTTTCAAAAGAGATAGCTACCTACACTATAATAAGTAAAAGACAAAATAGTTTATTTACGCTGAAAATTTAATAAAATAAATTATAAATAGGATAAAAAAACATTCTCTTTCTGTCTTATAAATAATAGGAGAGGGTACAACGCATATAAGACCAAATACGTAAGTCTTCTCCTATTGATTTGGGATACTGAGGAATCCACTCTCCTTTGTGTGTGTATATATTATTCGTGCTCCGAAATAAAAAAATAGGGACTGGAAACTCGTATTGACATCTCAGCCCCTTTTAATTAGAACTTGTAAATAAGAATTAAGAATTACAGAAATGCAGGTACCGAGTCTTCAGAGTAATTTGATGAGTTTCGTGATCTACAAAACAGAAAAATTCAAGTCTTAACAAACTTTGGATCCCATAACCGAGTTTGCTCCTTGAAAAGTTCAAATCTGAGCGACTCAAAGCATAAAGAAACGAAGCAAAGGAGGGGAGAGGAAATGCAATTAATGCATCCATGGAAACGAGATCGACAAAACGCAGGAGGATTTCTGAGTTATTGGAGAATGACGACGTCGAAACTAAGATCGATCGCCTCAGTGATCTTCCCGATGCCCTTCTTCACCAAATCTGTCTCCTTCTCCCCATCAAAACCGTTGCACAAACCAGTGTTCTATCAAAGAGATGGAGGTCCCTTTGGATCACCTATCCCGATCTCGACTTCACGACTCTCGAATCCTTGCGCGTTTCTTCAATCAAACACTTGGAGCCTCATCTTTTGACCGCCACTCAATCGCGTATCATCAGCCAAGTTCTCTCTATTCGTGACAAAAACGCGGACATTAGGGTTCTTCGTTTTCGTGCCACCATAAGTTTCTCCCTATTAAATAGTTTAATCCGTAACGCCATCAGGCAGAACGTTAGACAGCTTGAAGTCGAGGTGGGTACAAAAGATTATTTCAACTTTCCCAGGTGTGTGCTTGGTAGTGAAAGTTTAAGGGTATTGAAATTAAAATCGCGTTATCCAGGTTTTCGCTTGCCTCCGGCTTCTATTGTGAAGGATGGCTTCAAGTCTCTCCAAACATTGTCTCTCTCTCTTGTTATTTTGTACAACCAACCATTTCTCTCTGATTTGTTTTCTGATTCGTCATTTCCATCCCTAAAGAAGTTGCGCCTTCGTGCGTGCGTTGGATTGAAATCCCTTCATGTTGGCTGTCGAGTTCTCGAAGATTTGAGCTTAAAAAACTGTTTTCATCTGCAAAGTTTGGACGTGTCATGTGCAATACTAGAAAAGCTTGAGTAGTGGATTGTTTCAATTCGTATAGCGAGAAGAGCTGGGTAAGGATTAATGCACCGAGGCTTCAACATTTAATTTGGGATTACAATAGAGTGACTGACATGACGATTATTGAGCATTCGAAATTTCTGCGTGAGGCCTCAATAGGTTTCTTCATATTACCTAAAGAATTTAGCATGGGCAAGCTTTTAAGTGTCCACAATTTGTTGTCTGGACTATCTCTGGCTCATTCCTTGACTCTCGAAAGTCAGTCCGTTGAGGTAATTTTTGACATTAATTCTCTTTTGGCATAAAATTAGCCAAGTCTTAATTTTCTATTTTTCTTAACTCTTTTATGTAAGTATGAGCTAGTGTGCATATAAACCAACTTTAGGTTAATTAGCTTCTATCGACAAAACTGGTTCTTTGTCTATGATAACTTACAAGATGTGGCTATATAAATTGGAGAGAAAACAGCTATAGCTAGCCAAAGTGACCGGGAGCGTTAGATGATATAATTTAATTTGTTTGGCCCATAATTCATCATATATATTTTTTATTTTTTAATATTCTTACATTCCTCTATTCGTGTGACAATTGGAGTCTCTCTCTTTAATTTTGATCGCAGATTTTATCGAACAATAAATTTTTAGCGATGCATCTTCAGCCATTTTGTAATCTCAAGTCATTAAAGTTGCATACGGTTCTCAACAAAAGTAACGTCCGGGGAATAGCATGCATATTCAGAAGCTGTCCTACACTGCACACTCTGATTCTGAGGATCATTAACGATTACAAGACTGAAAGAAAAGTGAGCTTATTATTGCATATGAATAATTTTTTAAATGTTTTATTAAGATGCTTAATCATATTAAGGACACCTGTGCGAAGTTTAATCATGCGTGCTGTCCCTCGACTATAAATTTCAGCAATGGAATAGGGACTTGTGGGACTTGACTAGCACAGAGGACGAACAATTCTGGGAATCTCAGATCCAAACACTGAAGTCGTTTCTACAACACCTCAAAGTGGTGAAAATTCACGGGTTTCTAGAATGTGAGGATGAAGTTACGTTGGCAAAGTTTCTGCTCAGGCACGGGAAGGCTTTGGAAGAAATGATATTGTGCGGAGGACGCTGCAATTCCAGAGATTCCCTGAGGCGACAGAAAATCAGGTCGCAAATGATGGGATTTTCTCGGGCTTCTTCTAATGCAAAACTGGCATTTCACTAGCAGCTCTCTTCTCGGTTTGTGTCCTGTGTTATTAGCGATTTTGATTATTTTTCTTTCAATAACTCTTGCATTTGAGTCCCACGGAATGAAGTGGGGATAATTTCTTTTTCCCAAAGCAAACATTATATATAATTGTTATTCCACCATGAAATTCAAGCCATAGAAGGAAGTTTTAATTAGGCTTTATTTTTATAAATGTAGAATTAATAGCGATAAGCTGATCAGGTAAAGGACAAGGACAATGATGCAAGACTTTCCACATTGCAGATTTTTATTCAACTTAAAAACTTAGGGCGAATTCAAGGCGTGGAAGATGCATATGATGACTCCTTCCAAGAGCAATAAACTGAAGGGCTGATTAAAAACACAAGCAAGTTGCCCTTGAAATATGGGAAAACCGTATTTTTTTCAACCCTTGGTGCTGTGCGCCCAATCAATAATAAGGCGAGGCAATGTGTACAGTAAGTTGATGAGGGCCCGAACAGTCCACATTTTACACTGCTTTCAATGTGAATTAGCTGGCAAACACATATGAAGATGAAAAAAAAATTGAAAAAGAATGATGAGTAGGTACCGAACCCTCCAATGGGATAGTGCTACTTTGCCGCACGCAACAATTGACTATTGATGGAAATTAAAGGTGTCGTCGGCTATACATAACAATGAGATGTATATTCAGATTTGATACATGCAGTGTCCCCGGATATTGGGAGAATGGCCAAGAAAACGAGCCTAAAAAGATACAGAATTGACCCTACCGTAATGAATATTCGCGCTCTCATCAATGTTATGTATATAGTTTAATATAATTAAGAAGCCGGTACCAAGAAAAACTCAACTCACACCTTCACCATGGATCCAGCCTAAGGGTCCACAAATCCAATCATATTAGAGTTTCGATCAATCCAAAAGGCGATAGGCAAAGAGAGAAATCCCTAAATTGGTCTACCTGTGCTATAATTTCAAACGCAGAATTCAGCTGATTGAAATGGAACAGAGGTGAACTAAACACGAACCCTTTAAACCTTCTTGCACTGGATTATTAATTGGACAGTTGAAAGATAACACTGGACGCATGTATGCATGCCCCTACATAAGATATGATCTACTACTAAGTCACACAACTAAAAGCCAATTATCAAGCTCAACATGCCTATTCATTTTCATTCCAGGGTGCACCACTTCTTATGCCCAGGAGTCCATTTTGGGCATTTTGGACTGAAGTAACTTGAAACAACTCTGGAGTTGAGAAGCTCTATGATCGGAGCGTATTTCACGCATCGAGGAGTTTTGTACTGATTAATGGATGCACCCATGCTCAGAGAGAAGTCCATAAGCTTATCAAATGTCCCGTTCTCCACTATCCTAATCTCTAGAGGCCCAATGGACTTGTCAGAAACCCTGCCTTGGCGATACACGCTATTGAGCGATTCTTCAACTGCAAGGCAACAATCCTCAAAAACAGAAGGAGGGATTGAGGTTTGGTCACTCATGTTAATCTCCCAGTATAGCACGTAGTGGCCGGGGATAGTTGAGGTGTCCGCACAGCTTGTGTACTCTGTCAGGGATGCCCCAAACTGAAGAAGATGATTGGCTGCATTCTTCACAGCATTTTGCAGCTCAACTTCATCGGTCTTATCAGAATCTATGCTCAGGACCACGTTCTTTCGACATACAAAGTTGAATTGAGGGGCCTTATTCTTGAATCCAGCCACACGCAGTACATCCCCAACCCGATACCTATAGAGGCCTGTGATACAATAATATTTAATTACAAATTGAAGTACCAATATGGAAAGGATCAAACCTAAAATTTTGCATATAGTTTCTATCCAATAATTATACAATAAATAATATTTCATTGCTGAAGAGAATAGAATTATTACCTGAATAAGTGGTAACTACAATCTCATACTCCTGACCCAACTTCACATCTACAAGGTCAACTAACTGCTGGTCTGGGTGAGAACCTGAGTTGGTGAGCCCGTTTTTCTTGTTAAGAGGCAAGAACTCAAAGTAACCCATGGTGGGGATGAGGGTGTAAGAGACCTCACTTGGGTCACACAAAGGGTTTAGATTGAGGCCAAAGTAACACTCAGAGGAAGCATACATGGTGCACACGAGAGGAAGACCGTTACTATAGTAATCCAAAGTGGGAATGTATTGAGACATGGTTCCTGTGACGATTACATCAACATACTTGGTGTTAGGCCATAATCTAGGAATGATCCCCTTCCACGACTCTTGGGCACATTCGGCTTCCACAAAAGCCGCAAGGTGGGGATTTGGTTTGAGTATCCTCATGACGGCCTCTCTCACTGAAGGGTCAGTGATTTTGGGGTCTATTGTACCGGTTCTTATGTCATTGCACAAGGAAACCCAATGTTTTTCGAGGAACTTAATGGCCCGAATAAACCCAGAAGCAAAAACAGCCCCAACGCGAAGGACTTGATCGTTTTGACAAAGCCCACAAAGCAACTGGGAGTACATGCTTTGGAAAGAGTCAGGGCAGAGAATGGTCTCGTTGGGGCTGGTGTAGTTGGTGTAGGGATCAAAGGGTCTGTCCTTAAAGTGAGAGCTTTTGTAGTAGCTGGTTAAAACTGGACGAGCTAAAAGTCCTCCCGGTGTCTTAGCTTCTGATTTTACGAACAAAAAGTACATCCCTTTGCCCTCGTCCAAACCCTCGACATATTGGCTCATCACCGGCATCAAAAGGCTATAAAGCAACGCCCTCCTGTCCAGCTCCTCTTCGATCGTCGGCATTAATTTCCTTTCTCCACCAGATGTTCCGGAGCTGCATAAAATACAAGAAGCCGCATATCAAACAAATACTTATTACAATTTTTGACAGACATCATGATAAGTAACTGTACTGGAAAAGGAAGTACTACTGAACGAGACATGTACATGATATTAGTTTTCCACTGACCTAGTCAAGAATTCTGAGACGGGTTTGGAACATAAAATTGGGGAAGTGTCACCATTGGCAATACGATCAATATCTGGTTTTAAGTCGTCATAAGTGACGATGGGGATGAACTTCTTGAAAGAGTGGGCGTCAGTACGACCATCAAGACCATGTCGTTGGAGGTACTCGATATGGGCACTGCGAGAAAGGATCTCAGAGAGGACACTTCTTTGAAAGTCACCGGCGTTGCCGGTGACGTCTTCAATGTATTTCAGAGCTCTCTCGCGGTGATACCGGGTGGGGGTGTTATCAGCATTTGGGGCAACATGATCAAGGCCATTTGCGTCAGCAGGAGCCTCGGGCATGGTGGCTATATTGTGAGAGAAATCACTGATCATATAAAGGAAGTGATGAATATAATGGAAGAAGAAGGAAAGGAGCCAGTATGAGGTGGAGTGGGTTGGAAAAGAAGGGGAGAGAAGGAGGGTATATATAGAGGGGAGGGTTGTTAGAAGGAGGAGAGTGAGGGTGAAATGGTAAAAGACAGGGGGGATTAATTGAAAAGACGAATAGGATGGAGGGAAAGGGAAGGAGGAGCGCTGGGTTACCTGGGTACACGGGTGCATGTAGGACGGCTGCTGTTAACAAGACCGGCAGCGGCTCCCGTAAGTTGATCGATTTGATTTCAATTTCATTGAACCATGATTCTGCTGCCTGGCTTCTCTCTCGCGCGCCTTTTATTTACCAACACACCAATTCCCTCGCTCTCCTTCTTTTCTAAATTCGAGGCCCCCCTTTCTTCTCTTTTACTGTATTTTTCCATACTCAAACCTCACCATCACTTGATATATATTTCCCTGTTTTATAAGTAACTTTTATTATGTTTTATCGAAATCATAACCCATCTTAAAATTTAATAACTTCTTAATTTTAATCTAAAATAACAGTTTATATAATAATAAATATAATTGTTAAAAAATTAATAATATGAATTATAAATAGTACAAAAAATGCTCTTCTCTTGCCGCTAGCTCCATGAATTAGGCAGGAAGATTATATCAACACACACGCACACTCAAGTTTTAAGGATTAGATCTCGCTCATTGAATTTGGGGTAGACAACAGCTCAAAGATTAATGATAAGACCATCATCAGATTGTTCATAATCAATTTAATGTATTTCTAGTTTTAGATGCTAAATGGAATGCTACAAGCATTAAGTTATAAAATATTATTTCACAAAATTTGATTTATAGGATGGGTTTAAATAATTTTTTTTAGTTATTAAATATCATTTTATTAGTGTATAAAAATAGAAAAGCAATAAAGTGGGAGATCTTCCTCTCTTCAATTTATTGTTTTATAATGAATTTATATTTCTTGTGCATTTTCCTACAAGTTTTTCTCTTTTAATGCTCATGATGTATAGGCATAAAATATAAAATATAGCTTAATAACATTATTTTGATTTTGAATAATATATAAATTTGGCGAAAAAATTAATGAAAGAAAATTTTGATGTTCAAACCGGTTGCCAGTCAAGCAGTTTTCTGCCAGTTCGGACTGGTTCTTAGTTTCATCCCCAGTACGTACCCAATCGGATTTAGTAGCTTCTCTCCCGATTGAAGCAGTCAAACTGACTTGTCCGGTCTGATTTTTTTAAACAATGATGTTTCATAATTTTAATCCTTTTGATGTACTTGAAAAATTGAATTCTTGGAGTATACGAAGTTGGAACTCATCCCCTATAAAAGATTGAATTTTGTGCATCAAATAATGGTGGAGGATTAGTGAAGTCAACGTAGACTGACCCAAACAGAGCAATTATATATACAAGGACGATGGAGTGGAAAAGGAGTGATGGATGTTTCGGATGCAACAGTACTTTTTGTGCGGTACAAGTGATGAGAAGATAGTGTCTTTTTTAATTTTTGCAAAAAGGCTTCGATAAAGAATGCTTGTAGGTAGGGTTTTCTGTATTTTGCGTGAGCTTCACTCGATATAACTGCCTAACTATGGGGTATGCAAGCGCCACCTGCACATACGGGTGAAATGAATCAGAAAAAGTTTTCTAATGAGAATAGCGATGGATGAGGATATGGTGAGAGCTTTGGCATCTGGCACCACTTTAAGTTATTGCATCTTCATTGCGCAGCCATCACCGATCATGCACTCTCTCCCCACTGTGCTGACAGGTTACTTTCATTTTGAATTTGCAGCTCACTGTTTCTGTCTTTCCATCACTTGTTCTCTCTCTCTCTGCTGCTTTTTGGTTTTGACAGTGCAGGGTTTCACATTATTATAGAATTATGTGGGCACGCGTGGCTCAGCTGGCTTCAGACGAACTGGATGATTTTTGAAATCTGAGGTCGGAAATATGGGTGCAAATTAGGTTGATGCTTGTACGTAATACTCGAAGCTTTTTTTCCGTATATTAATTATTGGGAGCTGTAGGGCTAGGTCTCTTTATATCGAATCTGGAGTTTATTACTAGCACGTCTTTTAAGCGATCCTTTCTTCCATGTTACAAATAATTGATGAGTTCAATATATATTGGTTTTGACTTAAGTTGTGGTCGAGGGGACATGACGGCCAGTTCTTCTTGATGAATAATATCTAAATAACTTTGTTAAACTAGGTTTGCACACAAGCAAAGGAGGAAGACAGCTATATCATTTTTACCATGTTATCAAATGTGATTTTTTTTTTTTTTATTCTGCAAGATACGAGGATCAAATTGGAAACAGAGAACCATTGCCTTTCCGATCCAAGTAATACTGTCGGAGTAGTTTCATATGGAGCTTCACCACATGAGCGTCATGTGCCACTATTTTTTTTTCTCCTCATTGAAATTCTTGCAGGGACTGCCTTCCTTGTAGGAGGATAATAATGCGATTTTTTTGCCAGTAATATGAGGATGTGACCGGGACTATTATATTCTCCACGTCTTGTGACCCGGCGTACTAATGATTTATTATCAAATAATATAATTAAAATATCTATCAATTTATTCAATTATCATCGAACTTTGAGTTTAAAATAAGAATGGAGACAAGGAGAATGAGAAGGAGGAGAAGGCCGGGAAGGCCTCGGCCCCTGAAACCTAACCTGCCTATATGCTTAAACACCACAGCTGTAAGGAACTGGATCATGCGGATTTATAATTAATCATGTTGATATTCAATTCTGTGACTTTTTATCGCGTTCACATGTTGGAAAGGTACGTGTAACTTATCCGATCATGTCAGGTGAATGTACAAATATTCTCATATTGCACTTTAGTTTTTTTTTTTTTTGACCAGGATATGGCACTTTAGTTGAGATATGTGCAAAGAGAACACATACCACACAGAATGAGTCAGTGAATAAGCATGATGAGAGATTGTAAAAGGAATGGGTGGTTGAATGAAACACAGGGGAAGGGGGCCGGGGGTGCTTAAAGGGTCTATGAGAAGGATGAGAATGTAGGATTAGGGAGTTACAGTGAGGTGTTGACTTTAGGGTGGTCCCGGAGCGGCCATGTCTCCGGCTGTCTGCTTCGCGCGTGTCAGGGTCACTTTCAGAGGCCACGTGTTGTGCAGAAGTTAGATGATCCCACACACACTCCCGTTTTTCCTTCAGTCAAACTCCCCAAAAGAACGAAGCTTTCTTGGGCTCCAAATTTGCGACTCACATAGGAGGGCGCACCGAGGCTGGGACTTCGCCTTGTGCTTTGGGTTTTGGGATTCCCACCTTCTCACATCTCACTCACTTTGAAGAATGTTTATATTACGGGATTACTACCGTTTCTTTATTGCTTTGCATGATCAGGCTTCAATCTCTCTCTCTCTCTCTCTCTCTCTCTCTCTCTCGACCTTCTGAAAGACAATGTACACTTCAACATCTGCTATAAAAGAATATGTTATGTAGTACCATACTGTGTGCTGATATCATCATTTTAATTTTAATATCAGGTTCATCGTCTTGCGTGCCCTCAAGCCTAGTCAGTTTGATCTTATTAAAGTTATAGGTATACCCATTTTCGGCTAAACAACACGCTAACCTATCGGTTCTCGGGTGGAATCATCCCTCTAAACGTGTTCACGATTGAAAAAACTACTATATATATGCAGTAAAATGACCCTAGAATCACTGTGCATGCAAATGGTAACCCAATGAAGTGAATGAACATGTTTCCCATGTGGCTGAAGCTTTAGTTGCTGATACATTCATTATATAATGTTATTGAAACTTCGTTCAACCCACTTGACCGTACTTAATTACTATTAAGAGTTGACCACATGCCGCAAGCGTCTGTTCGAAGTACTCTCCAGAAACCATTTGCAACTCAACAAGCCAGCCTGTAGATATACCCTGCTCATATATACAATTATGTGTGTACGCGCGCGCGCAGATATATACATGCAGCACATTGCTTAATTTGGTGATGACTTATTCCACATACAAAAAGAAACTTGGAATGATGAATATATTGTGTGTTTTCTTGCAACAATATTCAGTTAATCAGCCACATGAAAAAAGTCACCTATAGTTCAGTGTTTCCTCAGAGTTGTGCAAGACTCCATGCCTTCAAAAGTAGTACGTTTCACAAAAAGGACACACAAGTGTCGGCACGACTCTCATAGGCTTAGCTTCTCATGTCAGAAACACACATGAGGTGATTTACCGGCATATATAGATCGAATTTGCTATGATAATGTGATCATGGCTGAAGTCACAGATCAACAATTATCAGAGGCAATATGATGTGGATCCACAAAAAGGAAGCGACTAAAGATTGATTAGTTACTTGTGTGTTAACAAACCTAGAATCCTGTAGATCTTTTCTTTCGTCACAAATCACAAAACTCACCCATTGTTACTGAATAATATTTGCCGAATCCAACCAAACGAAACAAAAGTAGCTTCATCATTCCATTCACTTTGTGGATGACAAATTGTGCCCTGAGTTCAGCCACTCTGCCCATCTTTTCGTGTAACAAGCTCGGCTAACAAGTGGGACCTTCGTTCCCAGTCATAACCAACCGAAGCTGGTTGACCAAGAACTATGCCCGAAGTGTCACTTACAGTCCTGTTAAAGATGATTAAATGGTGGAGACAATTGCGTTCCCGGATTACCTTTCCGAAGGATTTTGCTTCTTTTGGCATAGTTTTCCAGAGGGTACAAGATAGATAGATAACGAAGGCCATGAAATATGGGCAGCACAACATGTTAAGTTGACGACACGAGAGAATAGCCATACACAGCACAAAGTTTGTTTTCCAGATACTAAAGGGATGAAGGGATGACCCCATTTTCCAATACAAACAGTACTCATCACTGTGTATGTGTCGATGCCCAGTGGTTGCAGATAGCCATGTGATGTTAATTGCTAGCTCGTTGAAAGAACAGTGCTCAGGAACTCGGGGGTAAAAGTGGATATTATGATTCGAAAATATAAAGGGAAACAAAATAATGGGGAGGAACATGATGAACAAGTATAGAAAAATGGTATGAAAAGTGGATGACACAGCGTAGCAGCGATGGGTCCCTATGCTCACTGACTTAAAAAGAGACCTGGTTTTCTGTCTTCCCGATCTTTATCCCCACGATCAAGAGAAAGGTGAGGAAGAGACATTATTATGTTCTTCTTTGTGGTACCCTTTTGTCCCTTGCGAAATTTTAATCTGGCCAAAGGGGATAAGGCTTACTTCACGTCACAGTGTACCAGTCACATGTATATGAATTCCTCCCAATCCAGATATATCAAATTAAATTATGAAGACGCGTACACTGTACGCTTGTCATGCCTGCGAATTTAGAGGGATGATCAGGTAGGGGACCTGATCTTTCTTTCTCAATTGGACCACATTATCACAATGATCGAAGTGGAGTTTTGAGCAATTTCGTGAAGAAACGCAATTAATACATGGAGTTTTGTGGCCCACTTTAATATATTATATGCGGTTAACATGATTGCATCGATCGATCTTACATGTCTTGAGCTTCCCATATACTTGAGTATGAAGTATTGAAGTCATTGCATGGAGCCATACTATCTCATCTAGGTCTCCGAATAAATATACGTGGGACAAGGGATCATAAAATTCTCTGGCTTGCAGGGTATTCCAATAGTTCTCTGATCGCTGATCGAGATCAACATTTTCCTCTCTCACTCACTGCATGTGTTTCTCTGTGTATCGTGTCTGTTTCAGTGAGTAGTATTGTGGACCACCTGATGAGATCAGCTCTTCTCACTCACGTCGATCGGCTGAAAACTTGAGCTGCCAGTTCCCCACCCTTCATTAACAAAACCGCTCTTAACTTCGCTATCCCCTAATCTGAGCTTCCGTTTCGGAGAAATTCATAACTAACAATTTCATACATGATTTTATGATATCATTAATGATGTTTCTTCTTTAAGGAAATGGACATGACGACAACAACGGATCATCCGAAATTAAATTATGGGGAGGTGAAGTTAAATCATATATACTACCTTCAGTATTTAATATAAGATCTCATTTAAGTTTTATTTTAGTCCTAATTATAAGACTTCAATCCATTTTGTATTGCATATTTATAAATTTTTTCTAAGATAGTCCCTCTAATAATAGTAGTAGTTCTAACCAATAAACTTGATTAGCAAGGATATTTTAAGAAATACAACACATATTTATTACAAATAATTAACTTAACTTAGTTTTTTAATTTTCTTAAATTAGTCAACTAGCTTTTATAATTAACACCGGGGTAGTATATAATTTGTCTTTTTTATAAGCTACTTTATAATGGGAGAGACTGGCAACAACCCATGGGAACAATAAGTAAATTTGTTTGTATTCTCTTTTGGTCAAAAGAAAAAATCGTTTAGATTCTCAGGAAACTTGCTCACATATATAACAGGGAATCGGAACCCGAAAATTTGTGGGAGTACCCAATTTAAGTCCAAGGAATAGGATTCTAAACCTAACATACCATACAGATACAAAATTTTATTCCCCGATCTTCTTCCTGCATGCCTAAGCCATAAAAAAATGTGTGGCGTACAGAGAGTATAACTTCTATGGAAAAAAAACTGATGTGTTGGATTGGCAACACTTATTGTTAGACGTCGGTATGACACTGTGGGAATGATAAACATGGTTTAGCAGTTGTCAACGTTAGATCCTAGGAAAAGTACTGCATCATGAGGGAGGGAAAGGGCAGGCGTAATACAACTGAAAGTGTCATCATCTTTATTCGTTACACCCACCAGTGCTTTTCGTTCCTCTGCTTTATCCTATCTTTAGTGCCAATGTTCCACAGCTTTACCTGCCGATAGAGAAATGACCTGTGGCGCCATGACCATGAATGACCCCGAAACAATGTTCTGAAAAGAGGATCAGGATTGGTTTTCATAATGGGCCTTCCACTCAGAAGTGACGTGCCGCCCATTCTTATGGGCCGGAAGATGGGGCTTCCTAGTGGTCCATCAGAAAACACTCTTGGGCCTGAGGAAAATGGCAAAGGAAGCAAGGAAAAATGGTTATTATTTGAGAACAGGCGTGGTTACATAATGGAAGGATTTTTTTTTTTTTTAAAGGAATGAATAATGCAAACTTGAATAGGAAAAAGCATGGTTGTAAAATAGTTAAGGAAATCCTATCCTAATATAATAAACAAAACACGTGATAACGGCTAATGATTCTGGGAAAGTTCCGTACACGCTTCCATTTCACACGTTCACCAATTAATGAACAGCTGTTTTTGAAATCAACGCACCATCCTCCTTCCTTCCCTCCCTGTTTTCTTTACTCACACCACAACCGCAATCCATTAAACTATTATTATGATTCCCACGTCCAGCCCCATTTCAACTTTCGCCCCTCACGTTCACTTCATTTGGATCAAACGCAACTCTCTCTTTTCTTTTTCTTTTTCTTTTTTGTGTTTCCATGTGCTTTGCTAACTGTACATACATCACGGATAGAATAGAATCCCATTGCTATCTACAAATGGGAGGGGGACACTAGCTAGAATGCTGCTCGGATATGTTTTCCCGTTATAATATAATCTGTCCCCAAAGCATCAGACTCTACCCAAGCTTTAGGGGGGAACTCCCCAAGTAACGGAATTAGATTTAAACCAAAATATTTGATCCCAGGTGCCGAATATGATTGTAACATAACCTGAATTCAAATTTGGCCTTCTTTCTCTTTGGATTATCGTGTTTGATACATGATGATTTCTAACGGCGGTAAAATTAATTTTCTCATGGGTTTTGTCCTGCGTCTCATCTTCCTAAGCTGTTTTTCCCCGCTAAATTATATAGTTTGATCTTGCTTTCTTAGTCTTGAGGCGTTTCTGGTTGAGAAAGGAGAAGTGAAAAACTAGATTGTCCATGGTGGGCTCGTCATTCGCAAGATATTTTAAGTAGTGCCACTTTGAATTCGCTTAAGGATATGTACTACCTTTATCGAGTTTAATTGTACCACATGGATGTGCTGGGATCTATACACAACATAACCAACCATATATGTTTCAATTATTACTGATGCTCTGTTTTCTTTTTCTTTTTCTTTTTTTTGAAATCTCGTTACGAAGTCCTGAAGAAGAAGGAACGCGCTAAAAGAGTTGAGAAAAAAGGGTAAAAGCAAAGAATTAAGACTTGAGTAACCAGTCAAATAGTGAATTAACAGAGAAAAAGGGAAGGTTAACATTCCAAGCATGAAGACGGCGTCGTATCTTTTACGCCGAGGGGAAAAAATAGAGTTACGGGGGAGGCAATCAGGAGGAAGAGTTGGGGAGGTGACGTTGAGGAGGATGATGAAGCCAAAAGGAGGAGTGTTGCATGAGATCCGGGCTTAATCTGAACATCAAAACGCAGAACTCCAAGAGAGAGAGAGCGCCATCGCCATCAAGATCAGCTTCGGAGATCATGCAGAAGAGATCATCCTGCGTCAAATCCTGCAGGCCAAGAAGAGCAGAGTTGATGCGCAAGCTGTCCAAGGTGATGAGGCCTTTGTGTTTGTCCATGAGCAGCTGAAAGCCATTGCAGAGCTCAGTGAGGAGACCTTGGCCTCCCAGTTTGTGAGCAATCACGGGAAGCAAGTCTTGAAATTGAAGAGCAGCCATTGAAGGTAGAAGGAGAGAATCGGATGTGGTGGGTTGGGGGCGGAAGATGAATCATATTTAAACAGGGGGAGAGAGGGAAAGGGGAAGGAAGGGGGAGAGAAGAAATGAAGGGTGAGGGGATGACAGCAGGGAAACAGAGAATAATGGGGTGATCGGCTTTGATTGTGGGTAAGCGACCGCATTTGCCTCCCTGCTTCCCCATCCCCACGTTGCTCTTCTATTTTATTCTGGTTCCTTGTGTTGGGCAAGTCTCCTTCGCCTTTCCTTTTCTTTATCTTATTCTTAATTCATACACCTGTTCATGAGAATCTCAGCTGGATTCTTGACAGCTCAGCTGTTTTGCAAAATTACATAGCTTTTACCTCTTGGATTCTTCTTCAATTTCTTTTGACAACTGAAAATATTTGTGAAGTTTGTTCCCATATATAACATCATTTAACAAAATTTACCAATGAGACGGGGGGCCAAATCCGGTGATAAGATGATGATTAATTGCGTCTTTGGTAATGAGTTCAGTTAGTAAACCAATACAGTATGAGACTGTAGCCTTTTCTTAAAAACCACAAAAACATATATCACCTTTTCCAGTAAAACACACACATGCACACACATTTCCAATAAACAACACACACATGCCCACACACAATACTTGCGGAGGCTTTTATTTATTAATGAAGCAAGTTTTACTTTATAGAGGCATTTTAATTTGGATGACACTCACAATAATTTGAAAGAAAAGGGAATCGGGTGAGAAGTGATGGCATGGGGATGAAATATTAAATAATAAGACGTACGTGGTTAAGGAGCATAGGGTCGAAGTAAAGGAAGGCTGAAATGGAGAAAATAAGCAAGCCCAGGGATCAAAGCCATATGTGATAGGTTCGGTTGATTGATTCGCGGGCTGGGGGACGAATACGGCGGCTTCCTTATGGAGATGGAAATCCCAGTACATCCTCCCACACACTCTTGCAACTCTACCCACCAACCTTTTTTCCTTTCTCCTCTCTTTCGAATAACTTCTCTTTCACACCTTAGCTTGGAATAGCTTAATCTAATATTCCCTGACCCACACTCCCAGCCCATACGATGTGAATGCATTTCCACATAGTTGCCAGCAAAGTTCTTTTATATTACTTTCGGTTCTAATTATAAGATCTCGTTTGTAGATTATAAATAATGTTTTGTAATTAAGACCGACGATAATATATACTCTTCCAGTCCTAAATATAAGACCCTTATACACACTGGTACAAGGGTCTTACATTTAGGACCGGAGGAGTACTTGTTTCGGTTGAGGGGCTCTCTCCTCTTCTCGGCTCTGTCCCACGGCCTATTTCAGGGAAGCCATCATCATGCATTCAAATTGATATTGCCTGGCTGTGCGGATTCGCTACTCTTTCTGATTCTGACTTTGCAAATTGAAGTCTTTTCCGTCGCCTTGGATGTAATAGCGCACAAGTTTGACAAGTTTTTGGAGTTCAAATCCGGCATCTTGCAATCAAAATCAGCTCCTTTTTTTAACTTCTCCGTCCCGCGTAGAAACACAAGTGACTGCCTCTTCACCAAAATATCTTAATATTCAGCAAGTCATCTCTGAAATGAAATTTACTGTCCATGCGAGCATGGCAGGTAATATCATATTATAACTCACAGCATAAGGAAGCGGAGGGTATAATGTCTCTGATTCCGGAAACCTGAAAGCAGCTAATAATACCAATTTTATGGTCAGACCAATGAAGGTTTTTTTTTAGCTACGCATAGATATACTTTTATTCAAATACTTTTAAACACTAAATATGAATATTTTTTGAATAAAAATTTAAATATTGGTTCACTTTGTCATGAGAGACTAGTCTTTTTTCACTGAGTCAGACTGTTAATTTTTGAATGAAGTCTTTATTTTGAAAGGAGTTTTTTTTTTTGGGTGCAGAAGGGAGGTGATCCATATGCAATGAGGGCCATGGTTGGCGTCGTGGTAGTCAATCTCTACCCTGAGCCCATTCCACTTCTTATAACTGTGGGACAACTTAACTGAGGAATAACTGTATAAGGGGATGTTTGGATAAAAACTAAACCATGGTTTCAGAAGTACTTTTACGGATTACGAAGTAAATATGTGGAGGAGATTACCTTGTTTTGCGGAAAAGTGCTTCTGAAACCATGGTTTTGGATTTCCCAAACACCCCTAAGTATGATTCAGCAGAAGATGCTCTTGACATTCAGCACTTTAACAGTACATGTTTTTAGAATTAATCAATAAACAGACCCGGCATGGTCACAATGAGGGTTAGGAATCTTAACTGCTCCGTTATCTTTGAACATGATGTTTTTAAATATTTATGAAAAAAAAAAGAAGGGAAAGAATCCCAAGAGCCCAGGCGCGAAAGAAGAAGCAAAGAGGAGAGAAGAGGGCAGTTGAAATGGGAACACGGTGAGGAAGTGAGGAGATTGGCTGACTGGGCATTTTGGGTAATGGGTCGGAGCGCGTGTAATTCAAATTTGGGGAGTAGTTGACTGGGGAGTCCCAACCTTGGATGTTGTGTGTTGCATGCGATATGCCCTCCCGCTTTGGAGGGAGGGAGCTTTACGTGGGAATTGGGGTGGTGGGGATTCGCTTGGCCAAGCCCACATGGCCGGGTCTCCACCCGTGACTGAAATTCCGCCACGTAAGCAAATCGGTATCCCCACGATGCTCATGTGCCACGTAGACCGCCACGGAATAAATATTAGAAAAATATCCCACAGGAACCATTAAAACAACCCAAAGGATTTCGGTATAGACCACACACAGCTTTTGATTCCCTCGCCACGAGACACCTGGCGCCCCCTCCCACCCAAGCACCCCCGCCCCTCGCTTTGCCGCTGCTTTCATTCCCATACCGCCCTTTCTTCCCATCTTTCCCCCATTGACTATTCTAACCCTCGCCTCTCCTCTTTTTTTTTTTGAAAACATATTAGAGGTACCTATATTTTTTTTTAATTTTCAATTTAGTACCTATATTTTTTGTACTTAACTAAATCTTTATTTTTTCTCTATTAACATCATTAATCCTTATGTAGAGACTAAAAATATCAATAGAACAAAGTTATAAGAGCTAATGTTGCTAAAAAGATAAAATTAAATGTTTAATTAAAGGGAAAAAAACACATAGGTACCAAATTAAAAATTGAGAGAAAGTATGGGTACTTCCAATATGGTTTTCCTTTTTCTCTTTCTTTGGTTCCTTTCAATGCCCAGTAAAATTTGGATGGATTGGATGCTAGAGCTAATTAGTTACAACAAACTTTACATTTAAGGTATAGAAATATTAAATTAAATTAATTTTTTTTCTCTGCCAATAAGTCATGCAGTCTTCGAGACTAACGATAGAACAGGGAAAATAGCATGATTACCCATCATAAGACCATGGATAAATGGCTCTTCTTACATCTGCTAGAGTGTTTTCTTTCTGTGACGATCTTTATCTAACCTGGTTTCGTTCAAGTTAAATGCAAGTCTTTATCTTTTCAGAAATATTTCTTTCCTTTCCTTTTATTTCACCCACTAGACTTTAAAGCAGATTAGTGAAGTCCACAGAATAATATTGTACTGCCCAGTGTTAAAAGTTTTTTTTTTTTTTTGGGCACCGAAGCCTAGTTTTAAAAGTTAAAAGCACATTATTCCGTGAAACTTTCAAGGGCCATACCAGCGGTTATATATCTAATCATCTAAAGTGCTACATAAAGAATAACGAAGCTGGGAGGCTGTATTTCATTTCATTTCTAATATTTTAACCAAATAAATAAATTTTTTTTATGATTTTGCAAAAAATCAAACATTATCTCCGAGTCATCTCTTCCAATAATAGAGAGATGTTACGACAAATGAGAAGAAAAAAAAAGTTTGATAAGCCATTCATTAGATAATCCCCTTTTCTTGCAAGAAAATAAAACTGGCGATGAAATCGCGAATCTAATGGTCCAGACATTTTCTTGGTGGGCAGGGAGAGATTGGATTTGCGAGTAAAAGACTAAAATATCAAGCACAGTAAAGCTGAGAGGGCAGTTTCGGGATATGGCGGAAAATCAGGGATTATTTTTATAGGTTTCGGCAACTTACACTTTCTTTCCCTTCCTTCCATCTCAAAACTCACCCGCCCTGCACTTGTAGAGAGAGAAAGAGGAGAGAAAATTCCCGAAGAACCAGGGAGAAAGAGAAATTCAGGAGACCAAATATTATCCTAGTTTTAACGGCAGGAGATGAAGAATTGTGAGCTGTGCAAGGCGCCGGCGAGGACCTACTGCGAATCCGACCAAGCTAGCTTGTGTTGGGAATGCGACGCTAAGGTCCACGGAGCCAACTTCTTGGTAACCAGGCACTCCAGGACCCTGCTATGCCATGCGTGTCAGTCTTTGACTCCATGGAAAGCCTCCGGTGCCAAGCTCGGAAACACCCTTTCTCTTTGCGAGAGTTGTGCCGGCGGAATGAAAGATGGTAGTGACGAGGGGGACGAGAGTGAAGGTGGCAATGACGATGACATAGACACAGAGGACGATCTCGATGACGTCGACGAAGATGAAGACGAAGGGGGTGGTGGTGACGGTGACGAGGATGGAGATAATCAGGTAGTTCCTCTGTCCTCCACACCACCTCCGCCAGCTTCAAACTCCTCGAGTAGTGAAGAGTCAATTAGCAGATGTTTTAGCAGCAATAGAGTTATTTCTGAAACGGCGAGCACACTATCGTCGAAGCGAAAGCGTGAGGACGCATCGGATCTTAATTTCCAGGTTCTCTTTTCCCCCTTAATTTTAATATAATTTTACATATGTTCCTTGATTTGAAATTCATTTTCCTGGACGGGGGAAAAGAACTTGGCGTGAATAATGGGATAGCGTTTTTTGATGTTTGATGTCCAAAACAGGATGGTTGGAAGTGGTGGTGTAATAAAGAGAGGAAAGGTGGAGAGCTAAAAAAGCAGGTGGCATGGTTGGAATGTGAAGGCGGCGAAGGAACGTCGAAGGAATCGCCGAGAGGTGGAGAGATCGGACCGGCTACCGCGAAGGGGTCCAACGATGCGAGAACGCCGGAGTCCGTTTGATCGCGGGATTCGGGGTATCATAGCTGCACGATCGAGATGGTAGCTTCAGATATTATTATTACTGAATTCTTGACTAACT